AAATTAAAAAAAGAAAAAAAAAAAAACAACAGGGGCTCAGGGGCTGGCTTAGTTGAGTTGAGACGCTGACTGCCCAGACTTCTTGACTCCTTCATACACAGTGCTCCTGTGTTTTTATGATTTTTCCTGTTTTCGTATACAGACATTGGCTTTTTTTTGAGACAGGGTCTCACTCTGTCACCTAGCCTAAAGTGCAGTGGCATGATGATAGCTCACTGCAGCTTCAATTTCCCAGGCTCAAATGGCCCTCCTGCTTCAGCCTCTTGAGTAACTGGGAGTACACGCATGCACCACCACCCCTGGCTAACTGAAAAAAAAAATTTCTAGACATGGATTCTCTCCATGTTGCCCAGGCTGGTCTCAAACTCCTAGCTTCAAGCAATCCACCTGCCTCAGCCTCCCAAAGTGCTGGAATTACAGGCATGAGAATATGTGATAGGAAAAGAGTATACAGACTTGAAAAAAAAAATAGAACGTTTAGAAATAAAAAGTAACTATTCTTGAGCTAGGCATAGTGGCTCAAGCCTGTAATCCCAGCTACTCAGGAGGCTGAGGCAGGAGGATTGTTTGAACCCAGGAGTTTGAAACCAGCCTGGACAACAGTGAGACCCTGTCTCAAAAACAAAACAAAAACACACACCTCACGACTAAGTGAAACAGGAGGCAACATCTGGATCATTCTTAGCTCATAGAGAGAAATAACCTATCATTATGTAGCAGCAAGAGTGAAAACGGCCTGATTCTGTACTTGGAAAGAATTTAAATGCAAATCAATTTTCACTTGTTACAACAAAGTTCTAATTCAGAAATAAATTACACCAGAGGTTTTTGAAGGTACTTTCTGGAAGTGATCATTCACAGATTTTTTTTCAAACTTTATGCATCATATTTAACTGCTTATGCAAAGTGAAGCCTCTGATTTTTAAAGAATTGTGGTAAAATACACATAAAATGTGCCATCTGAACTTTTTTTTTTTTTTTTTTTTGAGATGGAGTATTGCTCTGTTGCCCAGGCTGGAGTGCAGGGGCACAATCTCTGCTCACTGCAACCTCTGCCTCCCACATTCTAGCAATTCTCCTATCTCAGCCTCCCAAGTAAGTGGGACTACAGGTATGCACCACCACGCCAGGCTAAGTTTTGTATTTTTAGTAGAGATGGGTTTCACTATATTGGTCAGGCTGGTCTCGAACTCCTGAGCTCAGGTGATCCACTCGCCTCAGTCTCCCAAAGTGCTGGGATTACGGGCATGAGCCACCACGCCTGGCCCCATCTGAATCATTTTATGTGTAAAATTCACTAGTATTGATTTTCACAGTGTTGTGAAACCAATCTCCAGAACTTTTGCATCATGCAAAACACAAACTCTAGATCCACTAGGCCAGTGGTCCCCAACCTTTTTGGCACGAGGGACTGGCTTTGTGGAAGACAATTTTTTCACGGATTGGGATCGGGTGGAGGTGGGGTGCTTTTGAGATGATTCAAGTATATTACATTTTTAAAAATTGAGATAGGGTCACACTGTGTCACCCAGGCTGTGGTGCCGTGGCACAATCACATCTCACTGCAGCCTCAACCTCCTCCCAGGCTCAAGTAACCCTTCCTCCTCAGCCTCCTGAGTAGATGGGACCACAGGCATGTACCACCGCACCCAGCTACTTGCTTGTGTTTTTTTCGTAGAGATGAGGTTTTGCCATGTTCAGGTATCAAACTCTTAAGCTCAAGCTATCTGCCTGCCTTGGCCTCGTAGACTGCTGAGATTACAGGTGTGAGCCACTGTACCTGGCCTCAAGCACAATATATTTATTGTGCACTTTATTTCTATTACTATTACATTGTAATATATAATGAAATAATTATACAACTCACCATAATGTAGAATCAGTGGGAGCCCTGAACTTGTTTTCCTGTAACTAGACGGTTCCATCTAGGGGTGATGTGAGATAGTGACAAATCATCAGGCATTAGAGTATCATAAGAAGTGAATAACCTAGACCCCTCATATGTGCAGTTTAGGGTTCACCTAATGCTGCCACTGATTTGATAGGAGGCAGAGTTCAGGCAAGTGAGCCCACCCACTACTCACCTCCTGCCATGTGGCTCGGTGCCTAACAGGCCACCGACCTGTACCAGTCCTTGGCCTAGGGGTTGGGTACACCTGCATTAGGCAACTACTCTTCATTTTCCCCTACCCCCAGCTCCTGGCAACCTCTATCCTACTTCAGAGTCTTGCTTTGTCACCCAGGCTAGAGTGCAATGATGTGATCTTGGCTCACTGCAATCTCCACCTCCCAGATTCAAGCAATTCTTCTGTCCCAGCTTCCTAACTGGGACTACAGATACGTGCCATCATGTTAATTTAATGCAGCTAATTTTTGTATTTTTGGTAGAGATGGGGTTTCACCATGCTGATCTCAAACCCTTGACCTTGTGATCTGTCCACCTCAGTCTCCTAAAGTGCTGGGATTAAAGGCATGAGCCACCATGCCTGGTCCCTACTTTTTGCTTCTATGAATTTGACTACTCTATATGCATCATATAGAATCATACTTTGTGACCGTCTTATTTCACTTAGCATGTCTTCAAGCTTTGTCCATGTTATATTTACATCAGAATTTTCTATATTCTTATGGATAATATTCCACTGTATGTATATGCTATATTTATATTTTTTGTTGTTTTCTTAACATTCTTGGAGATATATATCTATATATCCATAGGTATTTTTTTTTGAGACAGTTTCTTGCTCTGTTGCTCAGGCTGGAGTGCAGTGGCATGATCTTGGCTCACTGCAACTTCTGCCTCCCAGGTTCAGCCAATTCTCCTGCCTCAGCCTCTGGAGTAGCTGGGATTACAGGCATGCGCCACTGTTGAGAAATGTTTATGAATATTGATGTTGAGGAATGTTAAGTTTACGAATATGGTTTGAATGCTGAGTGTATGATAGAATAATATTGTTTGCGAGGAAGAACGATGGCAAGGAAAACCTAGCCGCAGCATCCCCAAGCAGAAAACCACTTGGGCCATTCCAAAGTGACGGGACAATGTATAAATATGTTAAATCCTTAAGATATCTGCCCCTGCCCCTGTGGCTCCCTCGTGGAGAATACTTTTTAAGTTGTTTGTGATCAGTGGTAAGCAGGCACCAGCTGACTACTTGGTGTGTTTTGTATGAGAAAATACCAAACACCTGTTTGTTAATAATGATCACCTGTTCAGATAGAATAACTGCATGGGTCAGAATCTACTTAGGGCCTTCAGCCTGGAATGCTGTCAGCTCCTGCTGGCCCTCTGGATAGACCCACTTTGCTGTTCTATTTGCTGTCTCTCATTTCGCTCAGCACTGCCTGGATGGGGGTCTCTATGGCCGAGCTGGTAGTTGGTAAGCCACCACACCCAGCCATTTACTTTTTTGAGACAGGGTCTCACTCTGTCATCCAGGGTGGGGTGTGGTGTGGTGTGATTATGGCTGACTGCAGCCTTGACCTCTTGGGCTCAAGCAATCCTCCCACCTCAGTCTCCTGAGTAGGTGGGACTACAGGTGTGTGCCACCATGCCCAGCTAATTATTTCTTTTGTATTTTTTGTAGAGACAGGGTTTCACCTTGTTGCCCAAGCGGGCCTCGAACTCCTGAGCTCAAACAATCTTTCTGTGTCAGCGAGCCTCCCAAAGTGTTAGGAATACAACGTGAGCCACCATGCCTGGCCTGCCTTATTTACCTGTTCATGCCTTGATAGACATTTGGGTTGCTTCTGCCTTTGGCTACTGTGAATAATGCTGCTACAAGGGTATAGAAGTATTTGTTCAAGAACCTTTCTTTTGGATCTATACTCAGAAGTTGAATTGCTGGATCAGAGTAATTGTGTTTTTAATTTTTTGAGCACAGGTCATACTGGTTTTCACAGCAGATGCAGCATTTTACATTCCTGCCAACAGTGCACATAGGGCTCTCATTTCTGCACATCCCTGCCAACACTTGTTTTCTGTAATAGCCAGCCTAACGGGCATTTGTCTATAGAAATGTGTGTTTAAAGTTACTCAGTGTAGTTTGCTAACAAACTCAGGACAGTATCTGTCACAGGGTAAACTCTGTTATTTCCTGAAAAAATGCACAAATCAACAAAGTTTACAAGTTGGAAATAGTCTTAATACTGTAAGTTATATGGCCACATGGTAACTGCTTTAACAGAGCTCTGACTAAAATGTTGCATTAGTACCAAGTGGCAACACAAACTTTAAGGGAAAGGTTTCCTTGATCTTTGAGCCTGACAGGTAAGACTATCCAGGAAATGAATTCCACAGAGAAAAGGAAATAGCATGTTCAGAGGTTCAAAGTCATGGAGTTGTAAAAAGAAAGATTTTAAAATCCAGTATCACTGAATGTGGCAGGCAATGAAGCTGATGCTGACTATATTCCAAGTGATGGGATTTTGTCTACAATATCTTCCTCCTAATTTTTAAAAATTAAATCTTCATTTCCTGTAAGTGGTTTTTCAGTACTTCAGATTTACGCTGTAAATAAAAAACTTCATGGTGAAGTTTTTTAAAGACCTAATTTGACCCCCTTATTCGTGTGAGGAAATAAAACACAAAGAGGGTTGGAATGACGTAACTCAGAATCTTAGTTCAGACACAGAGCTGGAACTGAAACTCCAATCTAGGGTTTTCTTCACTATTCCCAGCAGAACTTTACCAGGTCTCCTGATTCATCTCCAGCCTTTGGAGTGAGAGGATTTTTAAAAGAATGGTATACTTTTGTAAAGACTAAAAATTCCTTTTGCAATGATGCAGTGCTTTGTCTTTTTCAAAGTGCTTTTCATCAGCACAATCTCCAGATGTTACCATGTGCCTCCTCTGCCACACATCTTAATTTTCTTGAACAAGGGCACTTTGTTATAGTTCCAACAGTTTCTCTCACACTGTTCTCTAATAAAAACAGTCTGCAAAGCTTAATCCCAACAAAAAGCAATCAAAACCAAATTGGAAACAGATACACTATGAATGCAGGAACTCTATATTTATTAGGTCAATAATTCATTTTTAGCAATACAAGTACAGAATATATCACAATGCTGGTTACAAACATACTTAGTATGGTTTAATAGTTACAAATAATGGTGGGCACTACAAGTTGGTGAGAATGATATGAAAGGTCATCCTGACATAATGAAGAATTGTCTTCAAAAATCTATTTAATGACCTTAGATATTTCTATAGAAATTATTGTGGCACTACTAGTGGGGATTTTCATGTTAGATTGTTAGTGTTTTGCTTTTAACTGTTCCATTAAGAACTTTTTGAGTCTATTAAACTGAAATCCCCTGTTGCTTAATAAAGTATAAAAATAGTACTGACCTGGTAATATTTAGTAAAATGTAGCATTCATTCACATCGTAAAAGTAGAACTAAACTGAAAAGTTTTAGTTACCATGGCAACATATCCTCCCATAAAAGGAATATACAGAAATGAGTAATGTTACACAAATGGTACCTGCAATGGTTATTTAGTGATCCAACACTTAACTGTGCACCACAAACCAAGTTTTCTAGATATCTATATATAGCATATATTTTTAATCTTAAATTTTACTCTTGAAAAACATGTGCACTTCAACAAACTCACTAAGGCCACTCATGCTATAGATACCTAGGACTGCAATTAAAGAATAGTATTATGCAATAAATCCTAAAGCACACTCCTTCTGATTATCAACAGGGTAAAACCAGTTTTCTGCCTAAAACATTCCTGAGATTTATGGACAAAAGAACTAGTGTTGAAGCTGGAGATTAATCCAAATGTCATATTTAATAACAAGAAAAGAATTTCCTAGCTGGGCGTGGTGGCAGGTGCCTGTAATACCAGTAACTCAGGAGGCTGAGACAGGAGAATTGCTTGAACCGGGGAGGTGGAGGCTGCAGTGAGCCAAGACAGTGCCATTGCACTCCAGCCTGGGCAACAAGAGTGAAACTCTGTCTAAAAAAAAAAAAAAAAAGAATTTCCTGGCAACGAAGATCCTCCATAGCCAAGAGGTGAAATACACGTTCACTTTTAAAGCAAACAAAACTCTAAGAAAAATTTGTACTTATAAATTAGTGTTTTTCCAGCAGTAACTTTGCCACTCAAAAAAATAAAAAGGAAGCAGCAAGGCTACAGAAATTTGTGTTTTTATGTTTTAGGAAAAACATAAAAAATGGCAGTTAACGATACCTGTTATGAGCAAATCATTATTTCTATGTATAAAGCTTTGGCCAAAGGTTTCAATCATGTTTCGGCATGTGTTTACTGCAGTTTTTTGGTGTGCACTATTAGGGAGCAGCCAGATGGCACCCTCATTATTTCTAAGATTGCAGCCTCTGTACTTAATTTTCACAAAATTATAAACTCTTCCTAACAGACTAGGACCCAAGGTCTTTCTCAAATCCTTTCTTTTCACAAATAAAAAAATACCTGGGCATGGGTTACTATAAAGCAATAGTGAATCAATTTTTAACCAAGCAGAGACAGAGATTTGATGGTAATAAGGGTCTCAATCCCTCTGGCAAAGTCAGCTTTAAGGACTCTAAATTAGATTATGCTCTAAAAATCCCAATTAGCTCTAATAAATGGAATGCAGGCATGAATGGCGACCTGAGCGACACATGCGAGTGCAGACAGAGATCCCTAATGCACCCAACTTGAGTAGCACCAAACCTTAGGAAAAGACTGGGTAGAAGAGAAGAGTCAGAGGAGGATGAGATCAAAGGCCCTCATTTAACATGACTTTGCTGAACCTCCAGAAAAACCTTTAAGTTGGCCAGGGCTTCCTTACACACTTCACCATATGTAAAAAGTTTGTGCAAGGTAACTTATTGTAAGATAAATTTTATTCCTTTCTTCGAGATTTTTTTTTTAAAAACCAACAAATCATAGCCGCACACGTCTAACTTGTCCTAAACATCCCTACTAAAAGGATGAATCTTAAAGTTATAAGGTATTACTCTTCATTAGAACCAGAAATAATAGTGTATTAAGTCAGATCCCTAACCAAAAGTGAAAATGTTTTCTTAAGCTAGAGTGTATGCATTAAAGTATGTGGATTTACAAAAAAATAATATATATATATATATACATTAAAGCAGTGGTGATAAGAAGAAACTGCCAATAACGATGTTTCAGAAAAACAAAACTGGCTGCCAATTGACATTATCACCCTGTGATCCTACGCTTCTAACTTTTAAACACCATGTTGTTTTATCACTGAGTGTGAGCTAAGCTGAGTTCAAACTGAGTTAGGGACAATGAGGCTGTAAGTCATTTGTTTATTTTTATCCCAGAAAATGCTGTATGTGCACAAAACCAAAAAATACAGATTGAAAAAAAAAAAAACTTCATATGGAAACATGTTCAAAATATTTATTAAAAAACATTTACCATGACATTCCTATACCACAAACATACCACTGGATTCTAAATTACCATAAAAGCATACAAAGCCTATCCTGAAAAGATCTTTGGAGGTATTAAATACATAGGCCCATGAGGATAGAGCTGAGTAACTTAAAAACGTTTAGTCCCTGGTCACAAAGACTATTTGGTAATTAATAAAGAGTGCCTCTTGGCATTAGACTGCAATTAACTGAGGGGTGAGGGGTGGGGGCAGCTTCATAAACTGCAAGTATGTCAATCTACTCTTCCAAATTTAAAAAGAAAATAATTCAATTTGAGGAATAAACCCAGGTTTCTAAATCACCCAGTTATCATCTTAGGGTGTGGGCATGCTTCAACTCTTTCACATCCCCCAACCAATTCCCTCCTAGGGACTTAAATGCACTGGCTTATAACTAATAGGACTGCAAATAACAGCTTCAAACAAGGTTGGGAAGTTCAAAAAAGTGCTTAAAATATTAATAAAATTTGAAACCTACAATTAATTTTTCTGTACTCAAGATCAATGCGGCAGACAGTTTAGATTTTTTCCCCTCTCACCCAACATGCATGTTAAAAGAAAACTAAAATTCAACACACATCCATTCACCCACAGACTACTCCAAACATTAGCTAGGAGCAACATCTTTAACAGCCAAGTCATGAACCCCTGAAAATAGGGGGGGAACCCAGATTCTTAACTATAGAAGCATTAGTTAGGCTACTACAGTAAGAATTGAGGTAACAGCAAAACACCTTTTTGTTTCTTGAATTACTACATGTCACAAATTCTTAAATTTATTACCTCATTATTAAATAACTTGACTGGCTTTAAAAAAATCAAATCAAAACCCAATAAACAGAGAGTCAAGTTAGTGAAATCGTTGTATTATTAGGGGATCTTTCCATTTGACTCCTAGATTTCAAATGAAATGACCTAGTTGTATTACTATTTACCATAAAAACAGAAGATTTTCTAAGACTTATTTTTGGGCATTCATTTTCATTAATCTCCATAAACCATACAGTAACCTAACATTTCCATCTGAACATGAGCTATTTCATGACTCACAGCCAATACACTTGTTAACTGCATTGATTATTAGGGCACCATTTAAAATGAGGGGGATGGCTGCAGCCGATATTTAATAGACTTGCTTATGGCACTGCCATCTGTGTACCTTGACTAAAAATACGTCACTGAAATTGCCAAACTTTCCTAATTGGTATCTATTACATGAATATAATTTTTGCATTATCCTTTTTCATCATACATCTAAATAAAATCATTCCGATAAAAGTATACATAGGGTCTAAAACAATAATCTAAAGCCTCTGGTCCAAATAATCACCTTCTACATTAGGCTGGTCCTTTTTAGATCCTCCTGGTCCTGTTAGTAAATACCATCAGAGCATCTTGCACTGTTGTACCAAAAAAAAAAAAAAAAAGAAAGTCAGTAATACTGGTCTATCAGATTTTCTATTTACAGATCAACACTGGTCCAGTTCAGATAAATCTGACAGTCCTTTCCTTGTAATACAGAGTGGTTTTATCCACTTCTCCGGGCAAGATAGCCAAACATAATTTGGGATGTCCCTCTTTTATAAGTACTTGTGTTAACTTTTCTATACTGCATATAAAGATATTCCCCATAAAATTCCTTTACACTACAGTATTGAATACCTCCACATGGAAGAATTACATATTAAAAAGTTGTTAAAAATCATCCTTACATAATAAGAATGCAACTCTTTTAAACTCTTAAATAGTTTTATTTAGGGGTATGTTTTATTCTTTCAGGCTTTCTGCAAAATGAATTTTTTAAAAACAAAAAAGATTTCCTATTGTTTGTTCTACTAGGTTGAAAATGTGGGCCAGACTACTTACACATGCGGTACATGCTGAATGTAACTGAATACACGCTTATTCCTACAGACACTCTGCAAGATAGGGATCACCCAAAATAGGGTCTTCAATGGACTGGACCAGTGTTTCAATGCAAATTCCAGCCCCCCAAAACAACATGGTTTTGATTTCACAGTATGAATTCCCTGGAATCTGGGAAAAGGTAATTGGTTAACTGAGGTCCTCCCTCAGCAGCTCGGTCCCTCAATATTCTGAGAAATCAGGAAGGACTGCACCACTTCTTCAGTGGACTGGGGGCTGGTGTTGACATCTTCAAGTGCATCTGTCACTGAATACTGCCGATCTCGCAACCGGTTCCAGTTAGACAGAACATTGTGATATTCAAACACTTTTTCATAATTTCCAATGGAGTTGTAAAGTTTAATAAGACCTCGATAATCATATTCTAGTCCACTGTAGCCTTCACCAAAAAGTTTCTTCCCTGAAAGTAGCAAAAAAAGAAAAAGAAAAAAAAAATAGCACAAATAATAAGATAACAAGCAATTTCTATAACAAGAACACAAGTTCAATTCTTTAAACAGGGTGGCTTAGGTTTATTCTCCTAAAAAGAATACATATAATTCTCGTATCAGCATCCCCCAAATCAGTCCCACCTATGAGCTATCACAAAGACTTTAAAAAAATTTTTCTCTTGTCTAAAGAAGATGGCCAGATTTGAACAGAATTATAAAAAATTATGGTTTGAAGGAACTGTTTTAAAGCGATCTCAAAGAAGAATGGCAGCATCTCCAACAATAGAAAAATACACATGCCCAAAGCTATTCACTGCAACAGTATTTGTAATTACAAATTAACAGAAACAAATGAAAACATACAGAACCAGTTTAATCAACTGGGTATCTTCACTCAATGGCATACTATGTAGCTGCAAACTGAGGGGGGAAACTCTGGGCTCTCTATAAAGTGTTATGAAGCGACTGATGGTATATATTTTGTTCAGATTTAAAAAAGTAAAATACCAAAGAGTATCTATAGTATGCTATCTTTTGTGTACGACAGGGAAAATAAGAAAATATTTATTTGCTCATTGTACAAAAAGATACACAAAAACAATAAACCAGAAACTAATGAGACTGGTTATCCACAGTGAGTGGGTGGGAACTGGGTAGAAGAAATCAGAGAAAATTACATGTCTCTGGGCATATCTATCTGTACAGTTCTGATTACAGAAAATTAATATTTCACATACTCAAAAAAATTAACAAAATAAAGATGGATGCGGGCAAAAACTTAACATGATAAGTAAGCCTAATTGTGTTGCAAAAGAATAACATAACTGACCGGGTGTGGTGGCTCACGCCTGTAATCCCAGCACTTTGGGAGGCCGAGGCGGGCAGATCACAAGGTCAGGAGTTTGAAACCATCCTGGCCAACACGGTGAAACCTTGTCTCTACTAAGCTACGAAAAAAAAAAAAAAAAAAAAAAAAAGGAGAGGGAGGGAGATTGATAAAAAAAAAAAAAAAATTAGCCGTAGTCCCAGCTTCTCAGAAGGCTGAGGCAGGGGACTCGCCTGAACCCAGGAGGCAGAGGTTGCAGTGAGCTGAGATCACGCCACAGCACTCCAGCCTGGCAACCGAGTGAGATTGTGTCTCAAAAAAAGAAAGAAAGAAGAAAAAATAAGATAACCACATTGAAGGAAGGGGGTGTAAATAACCCCAACTAACTTTTGAACACTGTATTCTGAACATACACTACCTTCAGACTAAAGAAAAAGGAAAACTGTAAAGAAATATTGAACGCTATTGGTTTGCCTTTCATAGTGGTATGGGTTAGCAATTCTGAAACTACGTGCACTTGAGGAATGAGCAAGTCAGTCAATATATTATGGATAATAGGGAACCCACATGTATATGGATAAATGATTACAGGCATAATCACGCTTGAGCCACTGCCCCCAGCTGAAAAGATTTCTTAAATAGAATACAAAAAGTACTATTCACAAAAGAAAATATTGATGCATCTGATTACATTAAGAACTGGCCAGGCGCAGTGGCTCATGCCTGTTTGCCTGCAATCCCGTTACTGTGGGAGGCTGAGGTAGGAGAATCACTTGAGCTCAGGAACTTGAGATCATCCTGGGCCAACATTATGAGATCTTGTCATACTGAAATTAAAAAAAAAAAATTAGCCAGGTGTGCTGGCACACGTCTGTAGTCCCAGCTACTTAGGGAGCTGAGGCAGGAGGATCACTTGAGCCCAGGAGGTTGAGGCTGCAGTGAGCCCTGATCTGTACAGAATAAGATCCTGTCTCAAAAAAAAAAAAATTAAGAACTTTTGTTTTATAAAAGGCTCCATTAAGAAACAAGCAATAGAATAAGAGAAGATATCTGCAGTGCATGTGACCAACGAAGGGTCTGTCAGATTCACATCATATAAAGAACTTCTGTAAGTCAATAAAATTACAAGACAAATCAATATAAAAAATGGCTAAGAGTTTTAACAGGAACTTCATTAAGATGATGGCCATGGCTTCTTATTTTGATTTTGTAGTAGTCCTGAAATGGAAATCCAAATGTTCCAAATGTTTATTAACAGTGGAATGGTCTCAGATCTAATGGTTTCAAAAAAATAAAAACATTTAAAAAAGAAAAAAACAAAACAGTGGAATGGATAATGACATCCTAATCAAACATATGGCAGTGATATGCAACATCACAGATTTCACCATTAATGTTCACACATAAGCCAGACACATAAAAATATACATTGTATAACTTAATCAAGTTCAAAAACTGGTAAACCTGATCCATGATGTTAAAGTTAGAAGAAGGTAGGGGAGGAATGAGTGGGCAGTAATTGCACAAACAGTTTAAAATAACTACTTTTGCCTACACATGACACTCTACTGTCACACCTCTTACTACTGACTTCAATATCAAAAAAAGCACCTTTAGCAAAATGTTCCAGATGATTTTTGGGTGGTTCCTGAATATCCTTAGCAACTTATCCCATTTAAGTCTATTTTATTTTATATTTTACTATTTATTTTATTTATCTTTCTGAGATGTCTTGTTCTGTCGCCCAGGCTGGACTGCAGTGGCTCAATCTCAGCTCACAGCAGCCTCCACCTCCCAGGTTCAAGTGATTCTCCTTCTGCCTCAGCTTCCTGAGTAGCTGGGACTTATGCTTGGCTAATTTTTTTTTTGTATTTTTTAGTAGAGATGGGGTTTCACCATACTAGCCAGGCTGGTCTCGAACTCCCGACCTCAAGCGATCCACCAACCCTGGCCCCAAAGTGCTGGAATTGCAGGTATGAGCCACTGCACCCAGCCCCATTTAAGACTTTAATAACATTTTCCTTATACAAAATATAAGGCATGCTGACATGTTGACTTATAATCAACTGACTAAAGAAAATTTAAATGTAACATACCAATTGCTATAGATCGCAAATAAAGTTTCTCAGCATTTTCATACTGATTCATGTCATAATTATATAAAGAAGCCAGATGTCCCACTGAAAGGGCTACTTCATAATCTTCTTGACCAAGAAGTTGTTCTTTAATCTGAATTGCTTTGATGTGCATTTCTTCAGCTTCCTGAAAAACAATTATGCCGAATCAATCATTATACTTTTTCTCATCGTAACAGTTCCTTACTCAATGAGCAAGACTGATCTAAATGCCAAAGACATCTTATGAATGCCCTGAGGTAATCAAATCAGAGAACATACTATGTTATTCCGAAAATTGCCTATGGGAAGCATTACAGATTTTTGGAAACTGCAGATAAACTGATGACAGCAATATTATCCTATGCCAAAAGTAACGAGTGAAAACTTACCCTGGTAATAAAAAATTGTTAAAAAAATTAACAAAGAAGAAATTTGCAAAATTAATTATAAGAAACTGTTAGAAGAAATTAACAAAATATTCTAAAATAAAACTTAACTTACTTTGGGTAACACAGTTAACAGTCCAAATTTTAGTTGGACCTTCTTTACAAGCTCTATAACATAATATGTTAATTTACATGGGCATATTCTTCATTTCATTTTTTGGAATTTTGACAATTTTCATTTCCCTCAACAAACTAAACTCAAGCGAATCGAGGGATATAAAAGGTCTGCTTTTCAGGTAAGGCAGACCTCTCACTCATTCCTTGCTGTAATCTCGAAATTAATAATATTAAGAACGTATAGGCTGGATGCAGTGGCTCATGCCTGTAATCCCAACAGTTTGGGAGGTCGAGGCAGGCAGATTGCTTGAGCCCAGGAGTTTGAGATCAGTCTACACAACAGGGCAAGACCCTGTCTCTACAAACAACAAAAATTAGCCAGCGTGGTGGTGTGTGCCTGTACTCCCAGCAACTTGGTAGGCTGAGGTGAAAGGATCACCTGAGCCCAGGGAGGTTGAGGCTGCAGTGAGCCGTGATCACACCACTGTACTGTACAGCCTGGGCAACAGTGGTGAAAACACACGAGTCGCCAGCGCGACTCTCGTGGTCGGCGCAGCGGTTCCGCCGGCACCTCGACGCGGCAGCGCTCGGCGCAGAGTAAACAGGACCGGTTCCCCTTCTGACCGAGGTTTGGAGCCCCGGGAAGGCAGAGTCGCCTACTACGGAAACAAGAAGGAAGCCCGACAGGAGAATCCTGGGCGAAAAGCACCATCAGTTTTAACGCCGCTGCTCTGGCCCTGGGAACTAACAACCTGGACGTCCACTCAAGAGACCTAATCTGAAAGTTGGTAATTTCAAAGACGACAGGAGGATAAATTTACAATGACGGGAAGAAACCAGCGTAAAAAGGCTGAGAATACTCAAAGTCAGAACGCCTCTCCCTCTAAAGATGATCACAGTTCCACATCAACAATGGAACAAGGCTTGATGGAGAACGAGCGCCTCCTGATGACAGAATCACTCTTCAAGGAATGGATAATAACAAACTTCGGTGAGTTAAAAGAGCATGTTGTAGCCCAACGTAAAGAAACTAGGAACTTTGAAAAAAGGTTTGATGAAATCCTATTGAGAATAGACAACTTAGAGAGGAGTATGAGTGAATTAATGGAACTGAAGAATACAATACAGGAACTCCGAGAAGTATGCACAGGCTTAAACACTCGAATTGTTCAAGCAGAAGAAGGGATATCAGATGTCAAAGTCCAACTTAATGAAATAAAACGTGAAGAAAAGATTAGAGAAAAAAGGATAAAAAGGAATGAGCAAAGTCTCCAAGAAATGTGGGACTATGTGAAAAGACCAAATTTACGTTTGATAGGTGTACCTGAATGCGACGGAGAGAATGAATCCAAGCTGGAAAATACCCTTCAGGATATTATTCAGGAAAATTTTCCTAAACTAGCAAAGCAGGTCAACATTCAACCCCAGGTAATACAGAGAACACCACAAAGATATTCCTCAAGAAGAGCAACCCCAAGGCACATAATCGTTAGATTCACCAGGGTTGAAACGAAGGAGAAAATACTAAGGGCAGCCAGAGAGAACGGTCAGATTACCCACAAAGGCAAGCCTATCAGACTTACAGCAGATCTCTCGGCAGAAACTCTACAGGCCAGAAGAGAATGGGGGCCAATATTCAACATCCTCAAAGAACAGAACCTTCAGCCCAGAATTTCATATCCAGCCAAACTAAGCTTCACAACTGAAGGAAAAATAAAATCTTTTATGAACAAGCAAGAACTCAGAGATTTTATTACCACCAGGCCTGCTTTACAAGAGCTTCTGAAAGAAGCATTACACACAGAAAGAAACAACCAGTATTAGCCTTTCTAAAAATACACCAAAAAGTAAAGAGCACCAACATAAAGAAGAATTTACACCAACAAATGGATAAAACAGCCAGTCAACATCAAATGGCAGCAATCCTAAATTTAAATTGATTGAATTCCCAATCAAAAGACACAGCCAAAACCCAACGGCATGTTACATCCAGACCTGTTTCACATGCAAGGATACACAAAGACTCAAAACAAAGGGATGGAGAAAGATTTACCAACCAAATGGAGAGCAAAAATAAATAATAAATAAATAAAAAGCAGGAGTAGCAATTCTTGTATCGGATAAAATAGATTTTAAAGCAACAAAGATATAGTGGTAAAAGGATCAATGCAACAACAAGAGCTAACGATCCTAACACCCAGATAGGAGACTTAGATTCAATGAGACAGAAAATTAATAAGGATATCAAGGACTCGAACTCAGATCCAGAACAAGTAAACTTAATAAATATTTATAGAGCTCTCCACTTCAAATGCACAAAATATACATTCTTGTCAATACCACATCACACCTACCCATTAGTTTAAATGAAACATTGATTGGCCATTATTAATACCCAATTTTTTTCAAAATAAAGCAGTATTTCCATTTACTCTCCCTTTTTCTCTTCCTCCCCTTTACTTATTTTTTTTTTCTTTCCTTCTCTCAAAAAAAAAGAAATCAACTTGTAAACCTCTAGATCCAGGTCGGCAATGTCTCTTTCATTGCTTGATTTCCTTTCTTCCCTTCCCTCCCTCCCTCCCTCCCTCCCTCCCCGCTTCCTCCCTTCCTTCCTTCCTTCATCCCTTCCTTCCTCCCTACCGTCCTTATTCCCTTCCTTTCTGCCTTCCTCCCCCCGCAAAAAAAAAAAAAGGAATTTATAACTCAAAATTCTAAAAGACATTGAAGTTAGTCATATTTATTGCTATGATTAATAATATTTGTTGCAATATCTGACATTTCTTGCATACCTACTATATGCCAGGCATTCTGCTGAGAGCTATATGTATGTAGTATATACTAAGAATTACATATCAATAATTATATACTAAGAACTATGTTTGAAGTATAGCAATCATTTGTCTTTTTTATTTAAATTTTTTTTTCTTATCTCAAGCACTACTTTTGTATATATACTTTTTTGTTTTGTTTTTGAGACGAAGTCTCACTCTGTCACCCAAGTTGGGAGTGCAGATAATCTCCACTATAATCTCCACTTCCCAAGTTCAAGCAATTCTCCTGTCTCAGCCTCCCGAGTAGCTGGGACGACAGGCGCATGCCACCATACCTGGCTCATTTTTGTATTTTTAGTAGAGATGGAGTTCTCCATGTTGGCCAGGCTAGTCTTGAACTTCTGACCTCAAGTGATCCGCCCGCCTCGGCCTCCCAAAGTGCTGGGATTACAGATCTAAGCCACTGCGCCTGGCCTCATATATTAATCCTTTTGGTTTGACATGTTTCCTAATTGTTCATGGTCTTGATTTTTTTTTTTTTGAAACAGGCTCTCACTCTGTCACCTAGGCTGGAGTGCAGTGGTGTGATCATAGCTCACTGCAGCCTCAACCTCTTGGGCTCAAGTCATTCTCTTGCCTCAGCCTCTGGAGAAGCTGGGATTACAGGTGTAAGCCACCATGTCTGGCTAATTTTTTGTTTTTTGTAGAGACAGAATTTCCCTATATTGACCAGGCTAGTCTTGAACTCCTGGTTTCAGGTGCTTCTCCTACTCTGGCCTCCCAAAATGCTGGAATTACAGGCATGAGCCACTGTGCCTGGCCCATGGTCCTGATACTTATTTTTTGACTATTTTTTGTTTGTTTTAGAGATAGGGTCTCACTTTGTCACCTAGACCAGAGTGCAGTGGTGTAATCATAGACACTGCAGTCTCAACCTCTTGGGCTCAAGCCGTCCTCCTGCCTTAGCCTTCCAAGTAGCTAGAAAGACAGGCAAGTGCCACCACACCTAGCTAATTTTTGTAGAGACAGGGTCTCCCTATGTTGCCCAGGCTGGTCTGAAACTCCTGGTCTTAAGGGACCCTCCCATCTCAGCCTCCCAAAGTGCCAGAATTATAGGAATGAGCCACTGTGCTTGGCCTCTGTTGTTTTATATTGGCTATTTTCTCAATTTATTTGTGGAAAAAGGTTAGTATATAATTTATTTGAGCTTACTTAAGATTTATTATTAAAGATTCTACTTCATTACTTAAGATTAAGAGAGAGAAAAACATAGTAAAACATGTTTCTACCTTAAATTTTCGCATTGACTGATAAAGTCTTCCAAGGTTTCCATAGTGCTTTGCAGTCTGTACGTTAAATTCCCCAAAAGCTTTTTTAGCTAGCTGGAGTGAAGACAGGTGCAAATCATGAGCTTCTTGAAGTAGCCTCTGTTCAGTTTCCTTATTATGACAGTCAATTGCAATCTCCTCTAAAATAAGTGCTAAATAAAGAAGGCAATAAATTAGTGTACTTCAAACCCATCTACCAAAGCTAATCAGAACATCTAAACTTAAGTAATATAAATGTTTACTGAAGATATTTATATGTGATTATGGTTTGGAACTGGTCAAGATGAAAGAATTCCACTTTCACAAAAAAATACACTTTTTGGCAGTCATTCTATTTTGCACAGTATAATAAATTCAAATTTAAGAAAAACAATGGTATAAACTATTTTGCAGAATTAGCTTCTATTTTAATAGACTGCTATACTTTGCTGATGTGAATTTGTTTTTTAAATTAAATGCAAGGATAAAGCAAGTTTTTAAAAGTTATGAAACTGTCAGGGAGTACCTTAGCACTTTGAACATTTTTGAAACCACACTTTATAAAACACAATCTTTAACCAAACACAGCTAAAACAACTGGTTTCCTCCTACTCATCTGACCAACCACATCAGGCAAAAAGACATTTCAATTTCAAAGTTGCATGCAAGACTTTCAAACTCCATCTAAAGTCTTAAGAATATACATATTCTTTTACCAGATAATTTGAATTCTTGGAAAACTGTCTATGTACACAAAGGTAAGAAAAAGAGATTTATTTCACTGTAGCATTTTTAAAAAAGAAAAGGTTAAAAACAATTATAAGGGTCAAATAATAATGGTAAGGTTAAATACTTAGAAAAAAGGACATATGTAGAGACATGAAAACATGTTTGTAATATATTAAGTAAAACAATCAATTATAAAACTAAAAAAAAAAATCATTCATTTAGTTATCTTATTTGAAGTAAGAGAAGTCTAAAATAATATTCACCAAAATGTTGATTGAGGATTGGTGGGATTTTAAGGTAATTTTTTTTTCTTTTCTATCTAATTTTTAAACTTCTGACACTAATCATGCATTACTTGTGTTAACTTAAAACATGCAAACCTAAAGAGAGAAAAAACTCAGTTCCAGAATTAAGGTAGAATATATCCCACATGCACCGAATTACCACATAGGTGACCCAATTATGTTAGCAAAATAAATGCATTACCTGAGAAAGCCTTGGTGGTAATCAGAAGGAAAGTTAAAATAAGAAATGGAAGATAGGGGTATTTGGCAAGAGCCTCGCAACACTCAGGGTAACATGCTATGAAGCTCAAGATAAGAATCCTGCACTACAAGGCTAAAGCTATGAAACCCATCTTCTATCCATGTGTGAAAACATTTGTGTTATTCTTTCATGCAATCCTCAAAAAAAAATTAATGCATGAATGATTAAATTACAAAAGGGAGAGAGAAAAGAGACAGAGTCTCGTGTTCTGTAGCCTAGGCTGGAGTGCAGTGGCATGATCTCTGCTCACTGCAACTTCTGCCTCCTGGGTTCAAACAATTCTCCTACCTCAGCCTCCCCAGTAGCTGGGATTACAGGTGCCCGCCACCATGTCCAGCTAATTTTTATATTTTAAGTAGAGACAGGGTTTCACCATGCTGGCCAGGCTGGTCTCAAACTTCTGACCCTCAGGTGATGATCCATGTGCCTTGGCCTCCCACAAAGTGCTGGGATTACAGGCATAAGCCACCATGCCCAGCCTATTAACATTTTATGAGAGATTCAAACAGTCTTTCATTATGAACTACTGGAAATCCTTAAGTACACTTGTGGTAAAATGGCTATTTAGTAATATGTAGACACAGTCAATCCTGTGAGAAAATCCTCCAACCCTCTAAGAAAATAAACAAATACCCCTATTTTATACTATGTATCATCTACTTAAAAATATCTGAGACTACATTGCAAAAGATACCTTTCACCCTCTTTGAAGAAGCCAAAAGAAGATGATCTTCAGGTAGGATGTGGGTAATGATACCAATAGCTCTTTCTGCATGAAATCTGTAATACAGATAAATATAATCTGGCATTTCTTTTTAGTTACAAATGATTTAGGAATTTTAAAAATCACAGTCTGTAATATAATATTGATAGAAAGTACTTCTAAAACTATCTGTGGAAAAGGTCCAGCTTTTTGTTTTAAATTTCCAATCTGTTGTAGACTGAACTTTTAATACCCAACAGAGACTCCCATTTCCCTCAGAATGAAAGAGGAAGTCCATATTACAGCCTACAAGACTCTACATGATCTTTCAGCCTGCTACTTCCCTGACCTCATCTCCTTGCATTCTCATAGCAATCCTCTCTGTCCCCTTCAGCCACACAGGCCTAGCAGTTTCCTGAACATGTGGAGCATGTTCTCACCCTGGCTTTTCCTCTCTGAACATTCTCACGGCTTGCTCCTTACTGAATAGGTCTTTCCAGAAAAGACCATATAAAAGGCCCTAAAACAATTTACCATTGGCTGGGTGCAGTGATGCATGCCTGTAATTCCAGCACTTTGGGAGGCTGAGGTGGGTGAATTACTTGAGGTCAGGAGTTTGAGACCAGCCTGGCCAACATGGTGAAACCTCATCTCTACTAAAAAAAATACAAAAATTAGCCAGGTGTGGTAGCGCATACCTGTAATCCCAGCTACTTGGGAGGCTGAGGCAGGAGAATTGCTCGAACCCAGGAGGCAGAAGTCACAATGAGCTGAGACTACGCCATTGCACGCCAGCCTGGGTGACAGAGACTGTCTTGAAAAAAAAAAATACCAGCGCTCTCTCAAATCTTACCCTACTTTACTCTTCTTTACAACATGTATTATTGTCTGACAAGTTTGGTTGTTTATGGCCCATATCACCAAATAGAAGGTAAGCTATTTCTCTGTTTTAGTGTCAGCTCCTTTCAGACAACTCCAGGCCTCCTCGCTCCCATCTTCCAGGTAACCACTAGTTTTCTCAAATCTGTCTTCCAATTTATTTTCTCTTTTGTTGTAACTAATCTGCTGTTTAACTTGTCTGCTGAGGGTTGTTTTTTTTTTTTTTTTTTTTTTTTGGTGACAGGATCCTACTCTGTCCTCCAGGCTAGAGTACAGTGGTGCAATGGTGCAATCATGGCTCACAGCAGCCTCAAACTCCTGGGCTCTGGTGATTCTCCCACCTCAGCCTCCCAGACTGAGTACAGGAGTACACTGCCATGCCCAACTAACATTTTGGATTTTTTTGTAAAGATGGGGATCTGCTATGTGGCTCAGGCTGGTCTCAAACTTCTGGGCTCAAGTGATCCATGCACCTTGGCCTCTTAAAGTGCTGGGAGTACAGGCGCGGGCCACCATGCCTGGCCTGTCTGCTGAGTTTCAGTGTCAATGACTATTTCCATTTCTAGCCATTTGTTTTATTTTTATAACAGCTCAAGATATAATTAGCATACCATACAATTCACCCATTTAACGTGTACAATTCAATGGTTTTTAAGTGTATTCACATAGTACACCAATCACAAAAATCAATTTTACATTTTCATCATCCCATAAAGAAACCTATGCCCATTAGCAGTCACTCTCCATTTCCCTCCAACTCCCCAGACTAGATAACATCAATTTATTTTCTGTCTCTACGAATTTGCCTATTCTGGACATATCACATAAATGAAATCATATAATATGTGATCCTCTGTGACTCACTGAGCACAGTGTTTTCAAGTTTCATCCATGTTGTAGCATGTATCAGTTGTTTTATTTTAAAATCTGCTCTTTTCCAGCCAGATGTGGTGGCTTACATCTGCAGTCTCAGCACTTTAGGAGGCCTAAGTGGGCAGATCACTTGAGGTCAGAAGATTGAGACCAGTCTGGCCAACATGGTAAAACCCTGTCTCTACTAAAAACACAAAAATTAGCCAGGCATGGTGGTGCATGCCTGTAATTCCAGCTATGTAAGTGGCTGAGACAGAAGAATTGCTTGAACCTGGGAGGTGGAGGTTGCAGTGAGCCCTCACACCACTGCACTCTAGCCTGGGCAACAGAGTGAGACTATGTCTCAAAAAAACAAAACAAAACAAAAAAAACGCCCATTTTCTTTACTGTCCTCCAAAATATTCTTGATTCTTTCTTTTATGTTAGGGTCAGCAAACTTTTTCTGTAGAGGGCCAGACAGTAAATATTTTAGGCTGTGTCAGCCATACATTCTCTGATGCAACTATTGAACTCTGCTGCTGTAGTGTGAAAGAAGCTATAGAAAACACATGAATGAATGAGCATGGCTACGTTCCGGTAAAACTTAAAACTTTAATTTATTTGCAGGCCTAGTTCACCAACCTATTTTGTATCTTTAATTACATAAAGAACACATACTTTATAGCATCAACCAAAAAGAAGTTCTGTTAACTGAAGTTTTCAGGATTCTAATCCTGTTCATTTGCTGACTTAGAGATTATTTACTCATGTTTTGTAATTTTTTTTTTTTCTGAAACGGAGTCTCACTGCATCGTCTAAGCTGCAGTGTAGTGGCGCAATCTTGGCTCACTGTAACCTCCATCTCCTGGGTTCAAGCGATTCTCCTGCCTCAGCCTACCAAGTATCTGAGACTACAGGCCTGTGCCACCATGCCTGGCTAATTTTTCGTATTTTTAGTAGAGATGGGGTTTCACTGTGCTAGCCAGGATGGTCTTGATATCCTGACCTCATGATCTGCCCGCCTCAGCCTCCCAAAGTGCTGGGATCACAGGTGTAAGTTACTGCACCCAGCCATGTTTTGTGATTTTTAATGGTGAGTTCATTTTAGGTTAAGCTTTGTCTATTAAATGTCTGTATAGTTTGAGTTGACAGATAAGTATATCCAAGTTTTGCATTTTCTCTCACAAGGAATTCCAGAAGAACCAACAGCCCCAAAGTGCTTTTTAGTATTTTTCTGTTTGGAGATTAGAATGCATTATCCCTAAACTCAAGAGTGGTATAGGTATAGAATTATAAGTTTTGTGAGGCTTCTTTTTGGGATCAACTGTGACCCCAAGCTCAGATAGCCAACTTTCCCTGTGAGCTTTAATTAGATAGACGTCCACCTGTCCTTTCCCTGGGGTTGTAGTCTTGACTTTGCTTGTGAGGATTTCAGTTCTAACTCCCAGCCTCCTATAGGCTGTTTCTTAAACCAAGGTTACAGAAATCTCTAAACTTTCCCACCATCCCAATGCAGTTATACCACAGGCCATGCTTAACCCTTTGAATTTTACTGTCCATTATTGGCCCTTAAGAGATTTCCCCCTCACCCTTGCAAGCTCAGTTATACATTTAAAAAGATGACTGTTATATTTTATTCAGTATTTCTATGTGTTCTGATCAGGAAGTCTTTAGGTTATTAGTTTGCTACTGTATTACTCAAAAATTATTGAAGGAAATACTCAAAAGGTAAGTCATATTCTCCATGAAAATATACAAGTCTCAATATTAAATCATGTAAAGGTTAAATTGATAACCTATAAATTATGATTTTATTTATTTATTTTTGGAGATAGGGTCTCACTCTGTTGCCCAGGCTGGAATGCAGTGGTGCGATAATGGCTCACTGCATCCTTGACCTCTTGAGCTCAAGCAATTCTCCTGCCTCAGCCTCCAGAGCAGCTGGGACCACAGGCATGCACCAAAAACATCCAGCTATTTTTTTTTTTTTTTTTTTTTTTTTTGAGACAGAATTTTGCTCTTGTTGCCCAGGCTGGAGTGCAATGGTACGATCTTTGGCTCACCACAACCTCTGCCTCCTGGGTTCAAGCAATTCTCCTGCCTCCTGAGTAGCTGGGATTACAGGCATGTGCTACCATGCCTGGCTAATTTTATATTTTTAGTAGAAATGAGGTTTCTCCATGTTGGTCAGGCTGATCTCGAACTCCCAACCTCAGGTGATCTGCCCGCCTCAGCCTCCCAAAGGGCTGGGATTACATGCATGAGCCACCACACCTGGCCACGTCCAGCTAATTTTTAAAATTTTCTGAGTAGACAGCATCTCGAATCCTTGGGCTCAAGTAATCTTTCCACCTAAGCCTCCCACGGTTCTGCACGTGACAAATGGTATGATTTTAAATGACTTCAAGAACATTTTAGGCATTCTGTTCAAGTTCCAGGAAGACAAATTCAATCTATAAAGTACATCAAGTACTATTATTGATATCATAATAGTTCCCTAATGGGAAAAAAACAAAACAAAAACAGTATTTCCCCCTTCAGAGAAAAGGAATGTGGAACTTACAGTGCATTGTCAAATTTCCCAGAGCTATACTGGTGGACATATGAAGAGTAAGCCAAATCTTCATGAGCTGTTGCTACATGGATATTTTTGCCACCAAACACTGACTGTCGAATGTCAAGGGCTGCCTGAAAGAATCATAAAAATATTTGTCAATACTGTAGAAAATAGCACCTAGTCAAATTAAACATCCTAGTAATTTAAATATATATTCTATATACCTAACACCATAAAATTTTGAAGGCAAAGAAGTCCTGCTGTATTTAAATCTCAGAACATGAAAGTCACCTAGAAGGCCTGAATTTTTGAAGACAGAGTAGAGTTTGACTTAAAATGCAATGGTTTAATAATAATAATCATTCCCTATGTCTCGATTCTCAAGACATAAGGGAATGTTTTTCTTTATGTCCTTCTTCAAAAGTGAAGCTTAAAATCAAGTATGCCTTGTCCAGAGCAATGGCATAATATATCATTTACTGAGATTGAGTAAGAAAGGCCTAATATAATTATTATCAGCCATCCCTGTTATTATGAAGGCAGCTTTAGTGACATTTGCTAAATCAACAACAAAGACAATCCATTACATGAGTAAATAAAAAATGGAAAACTACTCCCAAATATGAGCTTGCAACCCAACACTTCCTTTCCTGAATGATTCTCTTTAATTCCAAAGCATTAACGTCTATGTCTTCTAGGTAATACTTAATAAAATAATGATGCAGCCTATATTGGTGGGTGGGGTTGGTGTCAAAGAATCATTTTTAGAGGGTGATTGATATACCACAAACAAATACAAGTCAGCAAGTCAATATGGGTTGAAAGAAAAAAAGAATAACCATTAACATACCTGATAAATTGCAACAGACTGACAAATATTATCTACATTGAGTAAGTAGAACCCATAATCTAGCAGTGTATCAGAATATTTTGGATGTTTGGATCCAAAATGATCCCTATAGAAAGAAATAAAATTATTAGGATACAAAGTATACAGACAATTTAAAAGGATATTTTTAATAATAATCACCTACCGTGCCAAATACACTGCATGTTTAATTAACTGTTCTGCCTTCTTAAATTCACGTTTTACTACACAAGCCTAAAGATAAAGTGAAAAACTGTTAACTCTCACAGTTCATTAGTATGCTAAAATAACTAGAGTTTATATATTCTGGCTATAATAATTAATAAGAAAAAACCCTCCAAACATAAATACAAAGATTCTATTTGTAATTTCTTTCCTTCCAAGTACTTAAAAATTCTATTATAAACAGATCTGTATATAAGCTGGGAAAATTATAATGTTTAAAATTTTGACAGTCACTCCTGGTACAAATCTGTCATAACAAAGTTACCTTACAAAGCTGGTATATTCCCATCTTTCCCTATTATTAAAATAAAACAATGGGGGCAGAATTTACCACATTATTTTCTAAGTCCTGGAGTGGCTTTCAACAATCTTTTGTCATTTTCATTTCATAATTTTTAAATGCATAGAATTTCAAGTTTTCCTATTATTTCGTTTCTTAAGAGGTAAGGTTTTATGCTGCCAGGCTGGACCTGAACGCCTGGCTACAGGCATGTGCCATCGTGCGCAGCTCCCAATTATTTCTTAAAATATTTTGAACCATGAGTATAGCTAGTCATTTTTTAAAACTCTAAATGCAATTTGCATATAGAAATATATCTTGCATAAATATTATGCTGTCTTGATATTAAATGAATATTCGATTATTTCAATTAATTAAAAAATAAGAATATCCCTGTTCTAGCTCTGGTAACTTGAATATTTATGCTGTTCACTTACTCTAAAAATGACTGACTTAATAAATTTCACAGAAATCTTAGACCCTCCCAGATCCATAATTTTGGAATCTTCTAGTTGAATTTCCATAAGTAAAATCAATCAAAATGAAATATTAAAATCTGAGAATCTTCTGGGTAGAAGAATGTATCTGAAAAGCGCATTAATGATTTAGGGCCTCACTGCACCAAAGCAGTAGTTTTAAAATACTACTAAATTTCCTCAAAGAGTTAATGCAGGCCAAGTGTGGTGGCTCACAACAGTAATCCTAGCACTTTTGGAGGCTTGAGTGGGAGGATCACTTGAGACCAGCCTGGCAACATAGTGAGATCCTGTCTCTATTTAAAATAAAATAAAAATTTAAAAGATTTAATGCATTTATTTACAGAATAAGAAAAATAGAGAAAAATAAAGTAAGGATTACCTAGCAAGTCAATCTCTTTGTCATAGGATTGCAGTCTTACAGCAAGCTGCCTTGGGTGAGACTGCAATCCTATGACAAAGAGATTTAATACCAGGCTCTCCTTTAGCAGAAAAGTGACCAAAGTTCACAGTATTTTGGCCTAAGGAATTCAGGTTGCTATAAATATTTAAGAAAAACAAAACTAAACTCAAGCCAGAATAGCACCCAAATACTACTTTGATCAGTACTTTAGTATGCTAAAACAATTATCAAAATGTATTATTTCACTGGTTTTCTTAGAGAAAAATTAGCTAAAAATCTATGTGTGATAGTTTTAGTTAGAAACCAGATTTCTAAAAATGAGCACAGAAGCTTATAAAACAGACCTATGCGTATGGAGTGTAAAATAACTAAAATGTTAAATAATAGGTTAATTAAAAGAAACTTGAAGCCTGATAAATCCTATAATTCATTGAATAATTTTAACATTACGTTTACCTTAGAAGCTTGTCTTAAAACATCCACCACAACTTTCACTGGTAAGCCTGCTGTAATTTCTTTCATTGCCTCAATGCACCATTTGTATGCCTAAAAAAACCATAATTTATAGAAGAGACACAACTGTGGTAAATCAAATTGACAATATTTAACAAAATGACTGCAAAATTCTTCTACAAGCTTTCAAGTACTTAAATAAGAATACACACAAAATTTACAGTTTAATTTTTCTGAGGCTAAACTTTCTTCAAAGTATAAACCTGTTATTATTTTTACTCTTAATATCTGTAGCTTGTCTGAATCAGACTTGTGGATACTTGACAATTTTTCAGGAAATGAGAGGCATGTTCTCTCTTGACCAGAAGCCTTTGCACATACTGTTACCTCTGCCTTAAAATACCTTCCCCCTTCCTCCAACCCCTTAAAACTCATCTGTCTTGCAGGTTTCAGCCCTAGACAAGTTTTTCTACACTTTTCATCCTCCTACTATAACATTTATTATTTTACATCTGAATTGTCTGTTTAGTTGAGTGCTTACTTTGTCCCAGCTACTGTCCAAAGTATTTTATGTGCATTAACACATTTACCTGACAACAACAGTCCTATAAGATATGTACTATTATGGGAAACTGAGGTATAGAGAGGTTAAGTGGCAGGCAATAGGCTAGTATCTAGGTACGAAGTGGGAAACAAAACAAAAAATGTCCTTCCTCTCCTGGTGCTTAGTGGAAGAAATAAAAAAGGCAAAATAAATTATCTTAGGCTGGGTGTGGAGACTGAAGTGGGAGGACTGCTTCAGCTCAGGAGTTAAGAAACCAGTGTGGGTTATCACATAGTGAGACTTTGTCTCTATCAAAAATTTAAAAATTTAGCTGGGTGTAGTGATGTGCACCTGTAGTTCCAGCTACTTGGTGGGGCCAAGGTGGAGGCTGTGGTGAGCCATGATCATGCCACTGCACTCCAGCCTTGATGGAGTAGATGCTATCTCAAACAAACAAACAAACAAAGACAAGTGTGGCCATATGATTTCTTTCGGCAATTAAAATATGAGAAGTGAAATGTGCCTTTTCTGGAAGAAAAGTCCAAGAGCCAGCAGTACTTCTCCATGAAGTTTCTGTCCCCGTGCCCAGGCTGGTAATGTTCTAGATAGGTATGTTCCACATAGACCCAAGAACCATACTGGGTCTTGATCAAAGTACAGATATAATGTTAAGAACAGCCATAGCCATCTGAAGACAGGAATATATTATGAGCTGGAAAGAAACTGTCATTGTTCCAAGCTATTCTGGGGTTGATACAAACTCTGCATAGCCTAGCCTATCCTGACTAACACAAGAACGTGGTGCTAATTCATCAAACTATGTCCTTAAGATTTGTGTACTTTTTTGTAAATAACAGTGAAAAGCTTATTTATCACTAAAAGATTAAACTGTCAAAAATTATCCAAGACTTCTACATTCCTTATGAACGTGCTGAGAGTTGCAAATACATGAATAAGGCATTGTATAAACCCCTAAATCCAAATGCAGGAAGAAAATAACAGTCAGGTTGGGCATGGTGACTCAAGCCTGTAATCCCAGCACTCTAGGAAACTGAGGAAGGTGGATTACTTGAGCCCAGGAGTTTGAGTTCAGCACAGGCAACATGGTGAAAACCTGTCTCTACCAAAGAAGACAGAAAAAGTAGGCAGGTGTGGTGATGTGTGCCTGTAGTCTCAGCTACTTGGGAGGCTGAGCTGCGAGAATCACCTGAGCCCTGGAGCAGATTGTGGTGAGCCGAGATTGTGCCACTACACTCCAGCCGGGGAGACAAAGCAAGACCCTGTCTCCAAAACTACAACAAGAAGACCATCCAAACAATTTAGGCAGATACTTTTGGTTAAATTAAAAGAAAAACAACAAAAAAAAGGGCTCTAAATTATATATTTATATATTTCAAATTCATCTCACAAATAATCCTTTTGTCTGATTTCACTTTTCTTTTATTGGAGACAGAGCCTCACTTGGTCACCCAAGCTTAAGTACAGTGGTATAAACAGGGTTCACTACAGCCTCAACCTACTGGGCTCAAGGGATCCTCCTGCCTCAGCCTCCCATGTAGGATGACCATCACAGGCATGTGCTTACACACCCGGCTAATTTTTTGTAGAGGCAGGGTCTCACTTGCCCAAGCTGGCCCCAAACTCCTGGGATTACTGGTAGGAGCCACAGTGCCCGGCTTGTCCGATTTAAATTTTCCATTACAAATGTGTACTGCCTTAAACCTGATATGTAAAAATGAGATCCGTAAGAAAAATAGGAGAAGACTATTTGATTTGCCCTCTGTTTTATAAGTACTTATTGGTCACAATGAAATGTACCTTAAAACACTTACCTCATCATAGTGACTTTTTGCAAACAGGAGTGCACACAGTTCTCCATAGAGTGCAGCTTTATTTGCTTGCTGGCCATGTTTTGATAGTTTATCCATATATGTCTGAGCTAATTTAAATGTTTCTTCACCCAAATGATATTTGCAGTTTCCATTTCGCACATGAAGCAATCTATAAAACACAAATAACATTGCTCTGTTTTTGATATTTCCAGCTTGGTGGACCTCTTACCAATCACCTAAATGACTTAAGGTAATTAAATGTAATTACAAGGCAGCATCTGAAAATAAGTGTGTGGCCCAAATTGGAGTTGACCTCATGCCCAAAAAAGAAGTACATGCTTTTTCCTGAAAGCTTCCTATAATTAATCTCATCACTGTTGATTCCTTATCTTCTCTAAATATTTGATATATTTTGTGTACTCAGCATGTGCTGCATCTAAAAAAATGACATTTACTCTTTCTGTTCGAAGTCCACAAGTAATATAGTCTCAGTATAAGAAACTTGGAAAATAATGACGAAAATAAACTAAACATAAAATATCTTCTATTCTTATTCTTAGTTTTAGTATAGTCTGTGTAACACTTGATCGGTTACTACTTATTTCATGATGCTTCATAATGTTCATTTTTATTTCTTTCCAATAAGACAAATTTACTGAAAACAGCAATAGTGTCAACCATTTATTTTAAAATCTTTATCCTCTATAGTGGAAATACAGAGTTCTTTACATAAAGTAACTGTACGACCATGTTGACTATTTAATGATATGACAAAATAGTACAATACTTTAGAGAACACACTAGTATTGATAGCAATAGACTGTATATCTATACAGACTGTACAAAGATAGGCAAATATTGTTAGGACTAGACAAATTATTTATTTATTTATTAAATGCTAGCTAGAACATTATGTTCATGTATCAAGCCAATATAATTTTCTGAAAATGCTCAGTCTGAGAAGGAACAAAGGCATAAAAGCTATTTGAAAGAAAACCAAGGATGGAGAAGTTAGGAAGTATTCTTCAGGAGCATCAAATCAACAGATATATGAAATTTATTTTTTCCATCTATACCACAAATATTAACAGATTAATAACCCATAATGAGAAAAAATCAATCTTTTAATCTTGCATAGTTAGGGAAACAGATTAACTTTAAAAGAATCAAGACTAATCAATAAAGTGATGAATACTATACAATGGCAGTGTGTATCCTCCTAACACATACCATACAGTTATCTGCAAAATCTATTACTGTAAGAGGCTTACGTTCTAGTGGTGAAAAGGGTATTAGGATAAGAAGACAAATATACAAATAAGACTTTCATTTAAGGATAAATGCTACAAAGATGATAAAAAGTAAGGTAATATGATAAAAAGATTCTTAAAGGAGGTGTTTAGGGTAGATAGGGAAGAATTCTCCTGGGGTGAAAATATTTAAGTTGATACCTAAACGATGACAGTGGAGCTGGCCAAGTAAAAATCTGGTGGGGAAGCATGTTCCAAAACAGAAGAAATAGCCCCTGAGAAAGGATGGGGGGAAATCCTGGCATAGTCAAAGGAACAGAAAGAAAGCCAATTCATCTAGACGATAGTGAATAAAGGGTTATGTAAAGAGAAATGAGACAGGGGAAATAAGCAAGATTTTACAGCACCTTGCCGGACGAGGAAAGGAATTTCAGTTGCAACAGTAAGGGAGGTGATTTGACTTATGCTCTAGAACACTATCAAATTTCCTGAGATGTCAGAAATGTTCTATGCTGTATTGCTCAATTTGGTAACCACTAGCCACAGTGGCTGAGTATTAGAAATGTGCCTAGTGTGACCCAGGCACATTTTACTTTTAATTAATTTAAGTTTAATTAATTTAAACTTAATCACATATGGTTAATGGCTACCATATGGGACAATGCAATGCTATCAAGAATGCTCTGGCCACAACAGTGTGGAGAACAGATTATAGCAAAGCCAAGAATGGAAGCAAAGCAACTAAGGCAGAAGATATTGTAATAGTCCAGAAAAAAAAGTCCTTGAGAAAAAAAGGATTAGTATTTGAAACATAGATTTGATGGCCAAATGGTTGAAAGAGAAAAAAATGAGAAAACCATAGGTTGAAAATTTAGAGAATAAAAAGAACAGTACTTACTTCTCATTTCCACAATACTAAGAATTTCCTTCCTAAAGACCTTCACTGTAGTAAGTATTCTCCTGAAATAACAATCTGTGGATATTATTTAGTAATTGGCACATGATGAGTTAACAAAATAAACACTATGCCAGAAAGGCACAGCTTGATATTTTCTCCAGTCCCTGCTAAATGTCTGTTTAAACAAAAGGGCAAATTAAACATATGGAGACTCTTTAGGTCTGGATGTTCATCTGGGCTGACAGTAAGCAGTATACTGAATCCAAGGAATTTTTGGTCCAACTTATTATGGTCTAATTTTATCCCAACATTCTGCCTAAGGAAAAGGCAGCCTCTCAAAATGTGGCACTACCATGTAAGCACAGTATTTTGCTTTCTTAATAACATAAAATCATGTCTACCTGATCAACACCTATTGTCAAGGGCAATTACTATTTGATTGAACTATTCATTGTTTGAAATGAAAAATATACAAATGTAGAAGTCATTAGTTTACTACTATATTTACCATTAAGACTGAATATGACTAGTTAAGGAGCCTCATCAGCCAGACATGACAAAAGCAAAATACACTGAAAATGAACTAAAGGAAAAGAATTTCTCTCCTTCTTTTAAGTGTCTTTTTCTAGAACCAGTTTAAATTTTTAGAAATAAAGGAGAGCTTGAAGGAGTGAGCTGCATAATGAAAATAAAGACTAGTACGGGTTTTAAAATATTTTTTATTATGGTAAAATATATATAAAACTTTGCCATATGAGCCATTTTTAAGTATACAATTTAGTGGCATTAATTATATTCACTATGTCAAGCAACCATCAATACTATCCATTTCCAAAACTTCTTTATCACCCCAAAGGGAAATTCTAAAAGCATTAAGCAATAGCTTTCCCTTTTGCCTTACCCCTAAGTCCCTGGTAACCTTTAATCTGCTTTCTGTCTCTATAAATGTGCCTATTTTAGATATTTACAGTATTTGTCCTTTTATGTTTATAAAAGGATAAAATTTTCAAGGTTCATCCATGTTGTAGCATATATCAAAACTGAGGGAATCACTGTATGTACATGTATGTAAATGCCAAATTTTGTGTATCTATTATCTGTTGATGGATACTTGGATTGTTTCCATCTTTTGACTTGTGAAAAATTCTGCTATAAACACTAGCACACAAATAACTTTTGATTCCCTGCTTTCAATGTTTTTAGGCATATACCTCGGAGTGAAATTGCTGAGTCATACAGTAATTCTATGTTTAGCTTTTTGACAAACTGCCAAACTGTACTCCACAGCAGCTGCACCATTTTACACTCCCAGCAACAGTGAACAGTTTCCAATTTCTCTTTTTTTCAAATGCTCTCTCAGCAGAATCACTGGATTTCTTCTCATCCTTACCAACACTTATTTTCTGTTGTTTTTACTTTTTTAATTGTACCCATCTTGGTAGGAATAAAGTGGTACCTCATTATGTTTAATTTGTATTTCCCTAATGCCAAATGACACTGAGCATCTTTTCACGTGCTTACTGGCCATTTATATATTCCTTGGGAAAACGTCTATTCAAGTCCTTTGCCCATTTTTTATTTTATTTTATTTTTTGAGACAGAGACTCACTCTGTCATCCAGGCCTGGAGTGCAGTGGTGTGGATCAAGCTCACTACAGCCATGATCTCCTAGGCTTAAGGGATCCTCCCACCTTGGCCTCCTAAGTAGCTGAGACTACAGGCCTGCGTCACCACACCTGGCTAATCTTTTAAAAATTTTTTTTTTTTTTTTTTTTTTTGAGACGGAGTTTTGCTCTTGTTACCCAGGCTGGAGTGCAATGGCACGATCTCGGCTCACCGCAACCTCAGCCTCCTGGGTTCAGGCAATTCTCCTGCCTCAGCCTCCCTAGTAGCCGGGATTACAGGCGCGTGCCACTGTGCCCAGCTAATTTTTTGTATTTTTTTTAGTAGAGACAGGGTTTCACCATGTTGACCAGGATGGTCTCGATCTCTTGACCTCGTGATCCACCCGCCTCGGCCTCCCAAAGTGCTGGGATTACAGGCTTGAGCCACCGCGCCCGGCCCTTAAAAAATTTTTAATAGAGAAAAGGTCTTGCCATGTAGCTCAGGCTGGTCTCAAACTCCTGGGCTCAAGAAATCCTTCTGCCTCAGCTTCCCAAAGTTCTGGGATTACAGGTGTGACCCACCATGTCCAGCCTGCTCTTTATTTTATTAATTATTTTTTGACTTATAGTTTTGCTTTTGCCCAGGCTGGAATGCAGTGGCACGATTGGCTCATCGCAACTTCTGCCTCCTAGGTTCAAGTGATTCTCCTGCCTCAACCTCTGGAGTAGCTGGAATTATAGGCACCCGCCACCATGCCTAGCTAATTTTCATATTTTTAGTAGAGACGGGGTTTCACCATGTTTGCCAGGCTGCATTTTATTTTTTTTGAGATGAAGTCTTGCTCTGTCGCCCAGGCTGAAGTGCAGTGGCACAATCTCAGTTCACTGCAACTCCTCCCTTCTGGGTTCAAGTGATTCCCCTCCTCAGCCCCCTGAGTAATTAGGATTACAGGTGTGCACCACCATACTTGTGTGTGTGTGTGTTTTTTTTTTTTAGTAGAGACAGAGTTTTACCATGTTGGCCAGGCTGGTCTCGAACTCCTGAACTCATCTGATTTGTCTGCCTCAAACTCTGAAAGTGCTGGAATTACAGGTGTGAACCAACACACACAGCTTCATTTTTAAATTATTTGTAGTTCTTGACATATTCTGGATACTAGAACCTTATCTGACATATAATTTGCAAATATTTTCTCCCATTCCATAGGTTGTCTTTTTACTTTCTTGACGTTTTTTGATGTACAGAAGTTTTTTATTTTGATTAAGCCCAACAAATCAATAGTTTTACTTCTTCCTTTCCAATACTGATGCTTTTTGTTTTTCTTGTTTAATTTCTTCTGCTAAAGCTTCTAGTACAATGTTGAACACCACTAGTGAAAGCAGGCATCTATGTCTTGTTCCTGATCCTATGGGGGAA